TTTTGGCATCTTAAAAGAGTCTTAAAATAGTCTTAGTTTGTGTCACGTTTAAGATCTTAAACGAACGACAATTTTAAGACGATTTTTTTTTACACGGGTGAGTTATCGAACCGACCGTGGAGGGGGGAAATTTTCTCCAGTGCTCGACGAGATTGTTAATAACTTTGTAATAATTAAATATTTTTTAATAAAAATTTAGGGTAATAATCTTTAATGTACCCTTAATAAAATTAAAAAAAAAAAATGATTCCCAAACTCCTTTATTTTCCCTGTCAAAAAAATTCCCGAAAATCACCTCTTTTTTTCGATCGTCACAGTGGTGTTCCCCCCTAAATAATTTATTTATCAAAGCGAAATTTTTTACTTTATTTGGAAAAAAACATCGTCCGAAAATAATTAAAATTTCAGTTTATAATAATTACTTTTGATTACAAAAACTCGTTGAGTTTCAATACAATTGATAACGTATAAAAATTTTTGTACTAAGATATCACTCTACCTTACGTATTTCCTCCATAATGTCATTTGGATCTCGACTGCTTGTAGTTCTCATACTCCAAGTAAAACGTAAGCTACGTGGTTTAACTTGCTCATCATTAGTTGTAGCTCCACTGAAAAATTCAAAATAATTATACAATTATATAATTAATTGGTATTATTTTCCTGATAAAATATAAATCAAAAAATTCATTTTTTATATTTCTAAATAGTTATCACAATTCAGGTTTCTCCATAAACTGTATGCAATCTTTTAATAAAGCCTTAAATTTTAAATTAATAAGTTCAACTTTGATGAGCAACCAATTATCTTTTATAAGAAAATAATTTTGCGTAAAAAATTGTGATAATTAATATCGCTTGAAATTTATAAAAATACCATGCGAGTTTTAAAAGTAGTTTAAATTTTATCCATGCACATGCTGACGCATATAAATTTAAAATATATAATTTGTTGTATAGTCAACAGTTTTTATAATTATCTATATGATTATTATTGAGAAAAACAAAATAAAATTGTTTGCACAGTTAATAAGTTAAATGAAAAAAATGTATTGTTAACTTTAAAGAAATAATGGTGTCAATTTAATTAGTTATTACTATATAGTGAAGATAAATTATTGAATGAAATTATTATAAATAAAAGAAAAATAAACTTGTGAACATACCGTAAAATAATAAATGATAATAATAATAATAATAATGATACTAATAATAATTAAATGCATTAAAATTGAGAAGCTACATACCTTACTACTGGGTTCTTTGGGGGTGCAGTTTGGTCCATGGCGCTGAAATAACAAAACAAAGGCGATTGCTAACGATGATTGAACTGTATAAATGAAATGAACATTTTTTCTTATTTACGACCATCACCAGCGTGTAGTCATTATTATTAATTCTTGAATAATGATTATTAATGCCATTTATTAATCAATGAAGTATTATTTAATATTTTACTAAAAATTCATTAATTTATAATTATTATTTATGATTTAAAATAATTTAATTAAAACTATTTGACAGATATAAAGTAACACTTAATAAATTTATGGTAAAAATTAAATAATATTCAAAGTTTAATTTTTAAACTTACTACAAAATTTTGAACAATAAAATATAGTTAACTTAAGTTAATATTGTATTGTTGTAAAATGACAATTGTTTTTTATATTCTTAAGGCTTATTATTATACAATGAGTTATAATGATGTGGTGATTTAAATGATCAACTGAAGTAAGCATTGACATTTGTTTTTATATCTTTATATATAATTGTTTAATCGTAACAAAATATAGTAGGCTAGTTAAATAGTATTATTAAATAATATATAGCAAAACAGTTATATCATGCAAGCTAAATAAAATTTTTAAGTAATAAATTAAAAAAATAAAATAATAGAACAAATAAATTTACTAATAATCTAAAGAAGTTTACTTCTTGAATATAGGTAGTAAGAAATAAATTCATACAACATTTAAAAGACGGTTTTTAAAATATTTATTAAAATGAAATTATATCTATTATTGCTTCTTAATATTATTAAATTATCCTGCAACTTTTGTATTATATTTACTGCTTTTCATGTAATCATACCTTCAGTCAAACGGTAACAAATCAACCGAATTGAAAAAATATAAATCATATAAAAAATAAACAAAGTTAATTTAATAATTAAAAAAAAATTTCAATATTTTTTTATCTAAATTTAGACGGTCACATAATTGAAGAGCAGCAAATAGTACAGACTATACAGGAATTAAAATTAAAATTTATAAATCTTTATGCAATGTAAATGAATCTAATAATTGTTTAGAATAATAATTACTTTTCAATTTTTAATTTCATTTCACTGTGACACATACATTTCGATTTAATGAAAAATAAACATAACCATTTTTAAATAAAAAATTTGTCTACATTCATGCGTTTATATTACAGTAAAGCATGGCCAAAATTTATAATACATGCTACTGATAATATAAAAACAAAAAAAATTTTTAGCACAATGGTTTTACATTGATTTATATCATTTTGCTGATGACTATAATTATCAATTAATTCATACTTTGTTATTATGAAAATTCATTGATTTCATCTAAAATACATAGTTTATATATTTTTTTTTTTTTCAATTATCATAATAGATTCCTTCTTTGTATTGAGAGATGCATCAATTTGTTATTATTCTGTATTTTAATTAAACCGAAGACTCTAAATAGATATATGATGATGGGAGAACTATTAATTAAGAATATTACTGTTTTAAAAGATATGAATATATGTGTCAAAATAAATCATAGATAATTTGATAACAAAAATTAATTTGTCACAAAATAATCGGAAATTAATCTGTTGAATATGCAAAAAAAAAAAAAAAAAAAACATGAAAATTGATTTATATTTTTATAAAACCTATTATTTAGTTAAATGATTAAATAATAGTTTAATACAGTCTCTTATTTTATGATAAACGTAAATTAAAAACTTTAATGTTGATTATGGAGTAGAAGACAAAGAAGCGTTAATTTTTTTAATAAAACTTAAGATATTATACGGATAATAAATTTACATTATTTCCCTTGAATTAAATAATAAAAAGAATAATAATAATTAATTTTATTTGACAACAGAACTAATTCCTATAAATGCATCTTTTTGTTTCATAATTGTACGTTAAAAAGCGGAAAAACGTGAAGTTTAACTGAGCTAAAATCGATATGAATAACAACATCGGATCATGATGAAAGTAATGAGATCACAGTCAAATCTAATGACACAATATAGCCTGAATGGATATCTCTTCGATGTTATCAATTGATTATTATAGATAAATACTTATTTTTAAATAACATTTCAAATATAATAGTATAACTGATAAAAAAAAAATAAAATAAAATAATAATTATTTTAAATGTTGATAATTTAGCATTAAACCTAGTTATTCTGAACGATTGCCAATACTTAATAATCAGCTTATAGTATACACTCCATTGTCGATTGTTCGCATATCATTTAATTAATATACTTTCCTAATATTAATATGAAAATAATTTTTATTTAAATATTTTTTTCGTTGCGAAGAAGTTTTCACGAATCATCTAGTGTCTGGAATATGCAGCTCTTTTGGCAAGTATACCGATGTGTGAGTTAGCCAGTCTGTCACTCGCTCTCGTTTCAGCATGAAGAAACTAAGCGAGACTTCACCTTTTCACTTAGAAAACCTGTTAATGTATGGGACTATTATAATTAACCGATCCATTGTTTTCAATGACATAAATTCGCGATAACTAATTATTAGTCACGATAGACTTATCCGCTGGCGATGCCGCATAACATTTATATTACTATTACTTTTTGTATTATTTATACATTTTATTTAAATATTTTTCTTTTTTCATCAACTAATACTAGTTTTTTATATACTGTATATAAGCCAACTAATTTAAACGACTTTCAAGCAGAGCATTTTTTATTATCAGAAACTATTTAGGTAGTAAAATACATATTAATATATTTTACAAAGAAATAAATCATATATGAATAAGAAATCATTTTTAATAATCGTAGGTATTTTTTTTTAAATAAAAAATAAAAAATATATATTGACACCCAAATATAATTACCCATTTATAAAAATATTAAATGATGGTACTTATTATATAATGTGTGACTGAAAGTTATGATTTACAAGCAGAAATAGGGAAGGCACAAAGTTCTGTGCTACGTCTAAGTGCATGAGGCAATCATATGGTTGCCAATATCGACAATATTACGTTTATATCATATCATCGATGTGGAAGACATTTTATTTTTCAATAATTTATAATATATATATATTTAAAATACATACGTATATAAATTGTTGAAAATTTAATCGAGCTTCTACATACCAATTTTATCCAAATTATTATATGTATATTATAGACACTATAATTGTTTGTTTCTTTGTTTTTGTCGATCAGCATACAAAGTTTATAAAAAGTGGTATCTCTACTTTAAACTTCGTGCACCACAGAATAACGGAATTGAAAATACTATTTTTTATTTTAATGAAAAAATTATTTTATAATGTAAATGTCATTTCTTTTTTTTTTTTTGTTCTATAAATCACATTTTCCATTGAGCTTCGACTGTAAAGACTTATTTGCATTCTTGCATCTTAAAAGTTCATCATTATTATAGATATTAAGGGGCTAGTTGTATTTCATTTCTCACAGTGCCCTATGTCATGAGGTTGTTTGCGGAAAATCGCGTCTTTATGACTTTGGTCATCATTGAACTTGAGAAGGAGCCAATTAACTTGGATTCAAGTCCTGCAGCATATAATTTTAACCGATATCAGTAAAAGAAAAAAATAATGAAAAAGAAAAAAAACGCAATTTAGAAATTTCAATGATGCATTAATGGCTATGCAATTAATTTATCGCGTAATTTAATTTAACGCAATTTGCAGTACTCCGATAATGTATACAGTGACCATTTCATGAAAGACAATTTAAATTATTAATTTATTTACAATATTACAAAGACAATACCGTTATTCTGTGACACACCTTGAGATTAAGCATTTTGTGTCGGCAAGTAATTCAACATGCCATCACCACATATTTGATAATACAATCGTAGCTATATCTTATATAATAATCGTAAATTCCAAAAATATGCCTCGCTATAAATCTGAGAGTGATACGGGATGCACAATGAATATGCGAGGTAGTTTAATTTTGAATTTAAACAGAGTTATAGAATCGACATCATTGTTTTTGAACATTAAGTTGAAAAAAAAAAAAAATAAATAAATAAGTAAATAAAATAACGTTACTTTTTAACAGAAATACATTATTATTTTTATGTAGTATATTTCGGATATCCATTTTTAATAAAAACAAAATATATGTATATAATTATTTCTACAATATTAAATATATTTAACATTAAATACTAACAAAAATAACTACTTTATATTTATCCAAATATAATTTTAAAAAAAAGACGCCATCAAGCAGGTTTTTATTTATGGGTCGATTAATGATTATAAATAATAATACGTGCGCGAAATTATCGATAATAATTAATAAGAAAATAAACTTTAAATAAACTACATTTAAAATATAACTTTCACTGATAATGGTCGCTGTTAACTCATTGGATTACAGCTGATATTACTGTATGCATAATATGAAATAATTATTTAGTTATTTTACTTTTTTTTTTCTTTTCATTAATGCATCGTTATCCCGTGAGGGCTTTTGATAAATAATAGTACATAGTCATTGTGCATCCTTAAAACGAAAACATAAAATGGCATGCAAGCAACAATAGATACGATAATTCTTCGGATTTATTAATTGAAACAATTAATTAATAAAAAAAATAATACTTGGATAATTTAATTTTTTTAATCAAAACTTATGCATTGCCTAATTTATTTTAGTTATTAAGTTGAGTGTTAGTTGTTGAAAACCAATTATTAACAGATATAAAAGATGAATGAATTACAATAAGAATACATTTTTCATGATTTTGGTTAGAAATTTTAATTAAAACTGATCCGAAATAGAATTATTGTATTTAAAAGAGTGGAATTGACTATATTAACATGCAAAATATTTTAATATTAAATGGTTTATTATATAATACTAAAAAAATAAGGAAAAAATAGTAACTTACCGCTTAGAGAACCTCGATGACAATTTTGAAAAGAAAGATGGCCTTGCCAGTGGACTTATTGCGCTTGTATCCTGTGTATGAGTATGCCCCTGTAATTTTTGTAACTTCTCAGTTCAATTATCAAGATAAAAAAAAAATGATTAAACAAAATAATAATATATTTCATAACTACTTCACAAACCTGAGTATGATTTCTCTGCGCCCGATTTTGACCAGAATGGAACGTACTGCGACTTGGTACATTTCGTGGAAATGCTGGTGTCGTGGGTGTTGCCAATCTGCTACTCGGAGATACTCCCATACTAGGTAAAAAATTAAAAAAAAAAAAAAAAAAACTTACAATTACATTGAAATATGAAAAAAAAATTATTATTATCTAATTCAAATAATCTATTAAATATTATAAATAATACTAAATAAGTAGTAATAGTAATAGTAGTTGTTATTTAGTGTGAATTACAATCATTGTTATTTACAAAATTTATAAATGATGCATTGTTAAGTAACAAACAAAACATATATAATTTAGTTATTATTGGAATCGTTTGTGGAGAGAAAGTGTAATAACCTAAATGTTAAATACAAACTTTTAAATGTTTACTATAAGCAGTATCTATGAAAATGATCAAAATTACCGAAGCTCAGTAGATTTTATAATAAGTTGAAGCATTTTTGCTTTAATGATAACACTTAAATTATTTTTTTTTTGTTAAATAAAAATAAATCAACGTTCGAAAAATGTATGTATATAAACACTAATAACAATAATACTCAATAAAAGAATAAAATATGAAAATTAATTATCATGCACTAATGGCAATATGAAATGACAGTATGACCAAAAACTATCCGAGAGCTCCTACAAGAATTATTGATCGAGTATTTTAGTTATGAAAGATTCAATAGACTCATTCGAAAATCTGTAAAATAATATAAAAGTCAACTAGTCCCACTAAGCTTGTGAGTAGTTGCGAAAATTCGACCTCGTCGACGTGTAGATTCCCCAAGAGAGTTAGTGGCCCAATAAGTATAATAAAATAATATCAATTTATCTCGATGAAAAAAAATTAATAGGAAACTTTGATAAAATAAATAATTAATTCCGATTGAAAAAGTACGGTGGGGAGCCTGTACCTCTGCCTAAGAGGGTCGGTTGTTGTGAGTAACGAGATGTGAGCATTCCGTGGCTGAGTATCCAGTAGCAACTGATCACTGGGAGCTACACCACTCGTAGATCTATGACTTGCACTGATGCTGGCAGACTTGATATGACCTCGCGTTGGCCTAGTGCCCTCGGTTAAGCTGTGTACAAAACTAATCAACAAAAGTCCCGATCCTGATTCATTAAATAAATTAAATATAACCAAAGATAGTATTTAAATATGACGCCTGACATATATTTTTAGAAATTCTAAATTATCATAGTTTTGAAAACGAAATTAAAAATACCATCGTGTTTAATTAATAAATAAAAATAATTAAAGTCTACACGATTTAATAAATTGATTTTTATTAATTGAATAGTATTCAAAGTTTTGTCAATTTTCACGAGATCAATGATTATGAACGAATAATTACTGTTAGTGAATATGATTAATGATTGGCAGACAGCAGCTAGCATGCTTTAACAATGCAGAAAATAAATAATCTCACTGAGTTTCGTTTACTCTGCTATTAATTCAAATACACTTTCTTACCCTTTTGATGAGATTTTAAGAAATATAATAAATCATTGTAAATTTACAAAATTTTCAAGTATGTTCAAACTAAAGCGTAATTTTTCTTTAATTATTACTAGTTAACTGAGATTTAGTTTAAAAAAAAAAAAAATCACTCGATTGTGATAATTGAATAAAATTTGGTTAATTATTAAATTAATCATGCATAAAAGTGATCAGTGAATGTCATAGTCATATTAGATTATAAATATTGTTATACATACATAGTAAATATAAAGCTCTTGGAAGAAATAAGATCATCATATTATAATACCTAGTTACGTCGTTAGTTCTCTCTGTAGATGAAGATGATGTTTTAGCTTGATCATAAGAAATGGTGCTACGTCGACCAACAGAGCCAGGGGCAGGAGAGGTAAGCGGTCGTACACCACCTACCCCTGAATTTATAGTATTACTTTTGCCCACTCTTCCTTTACTACCAGGACTCGTACCGACGCCTAGAATAAACATTGTCACTGCAAGCTTCATTAGATGTGTTTCAACACAAAAAAACTTAACGTACGCCAACAAAATTATAAATAAATAATAAAATTAAAAATTAAAAATCCATTGAAATCTCGGGATTTCAACAAAAAATATAAATTTAAAATCTACAACTATCTAATAAATTTTTAATGAAATTTTAATTATGAATGTTTAGTTTTATAAATTATTTGAAAAAATGAGTAGCGTATAAAAGATGAGTTGTTTTAATAGTATAGTGAAGAATGTTTTTATATGATTGAAGAATTAATTTTTTTTTTTAAATGAATTTTGTCAACGTAACGAAAGTAAATGTTGAAGATGGAATAAAATAAAATTGAAATAAGAAAATAAATCTCTTCCAATTCATCAATCAAAATTAAATAAACTCACTGGTATCAAGTTGTCCGGGATTATTTTTCGGCGCTGATGTCCGTGTTGATGAAACGCGGGCACTATTTTCTTTAATAGTCGCCGCATCAACGGTGTTCTGTCGTTTAAAATTACTACCACTACTAGCAGTCACTGTTCCACCAGTGACAGTTGATGCATGATTATGGTTCGTTGCATTTCCTGGGCTTGGTACACCACCTGAAAACCAATCATTATTATCAGAACTTATACTTAATAAATTCTTATATACAGAAAAATAAATTCTATTTTAAAATTTAAAGGTATATTTTAAATTAATAAATTGATAAGACTTACGAAGAGTTTCTACACCAGCAGATGCACGTCTACTGGGTTTAGCATTACTAGCAGAAATACTCCGATGAACACCTCTATGTGAAGGGCTTTGAACTGTACCACCAGTACTTCCTCCACTGCCGCCTCCTGCACCTGAACTAGCTTGTGGCGGAATGTTACGCAGTGATAGTGAACTGCCTGACCGCGAGCCATCACTCTCAGGCTGAAAAAAAAATTATTTTATATAATTTTATTATGCAAATATAAATCAACTTTTTGTTTTTAATTAAACTTCTTACTGATAAAAAACTTTTAGAAAAAATGAATAATTTTAATCAATTAAATAAATATTTTGTAACTATAAAGCTAAATATGTGTATTAGTATCGACAGTAAAAGAATTTTATAAGCTAAAAAACAGCTGTTTATTTTAAAAATTTTTTACTTACATCAGTAGTTTTACGTCCTAGTAAAAGATAAGTGGCGAAAACATCATCGTATTTAGCCTGCCCCAGCGAGTCTTCAATTTCAGTTCTTGAATATCCCATGATAGCAAGGGCTTCTGTAATAAAATTTTGCAAGAGGCATAGTCACATCGAGTCAAGATTACAAGCTGTCGATAATTCATTCAATTACTAATTTATAACCCAGCTGTATTTTTACAATTCTACCAATATTAACGTGCAACATAAATGATATATATCACAGTACTATGACAACATACAAATGATATTTATATATTAAAATTTTATTAATACCTAATGATAATTTTCTCTTTTCCCAATGAATAAATGAAAAATAAACTAATACATTTAAATAACAATTATTATTATTATAATAATAAACACGTGATTGTGCAAAAAAAAAAAAATCACTGAAAAGTAAGTTACACAATTTGCAAATTAAATAGGTAGGAAGTGTTATGTACATACTGGCAGACTCACCTATCCTCTTGTGATCTTTATAATCGGGTTCGGGTTCTAAGTACGGTTTCAATTCATCGTCTTCATAGCCCATATTCATCCATTTGTCCTTCATTATATTCTAATAACGTAAAATATATACATAAAATAATATTAATTAATTAATTAATTAATTGCTTGATTAATAGACGTAATAAAATAAACAAAGAAATAAATTTATATAATTATAAATTAATATTAAACTAATTAACTAAATTTTTTCAATCAAAAAGATAAATAAACCCGAACCTTATCACCACGTACCTCTAATGAGGCCCGCTTTGTCGGATTAAGCACCAAAAACTTTTTTAGCAAATTCTCGCAGTCAGTAGACATGTAAAAAGGAATTCGATATTTCCCTCTTAATACTCTTTCTCTCAATTCCCGTAATGTGGAACCATCAAATGGCAATGAGCCAGATACTAATGTGTAGAGAATTACTCCTAATGACCATACATCCACTTCAGGTCCATCATATTTTTTGCCTGTAATTATGGTAAATTTTATTATTAATGAAATAAATCTTTAACTATTGCTCAAAGAATAATATTTACCTTGAAATAATTCAGGTGCTGCGTAAGGTGGTGATCCACAGAATGTATCTAATTTATTTCCTGGTGTAAATTCGTTACTGAACCCAAAATCAGCTATTTTAATATTCATTTCACTGTCTAATAAAAGATTCTCAGCTTTCAAATCTCTATGAATTATTTTCTTTTGATGACAGTACTGCACAGCAGACACTATCTGCCTAAACTTGGCTCTAGCTTCTTTTTCTTTCATTCTTCCATGTAATACCAAGTAATCAAATACTTCACCACCGCTGGCATATTCCATTACTAAGTATAATGTTTTTTCTGTTTCAATAACTTGAAACAATTTTACTATGTTTGGATGATCAAGCATCTTCATTATCCTTACTTCACGGAAGAGCTAAAAAAATAATTAAAAAAAATTATTTCAATTTTCTAATTTTTTACTATAAAAAAATCGAAACCCGTAACATAAAGACACAACATAAAGTTACCTTTTGAAGACTGCCTGGGTTTAATTGAGTTTTGTCAATGATCTTGATAGCCACTTCTTTTCCCGTTGGTATATGTTTAGCAAGTTTTACTTTGGCAAAATTACCTTTACCAATTGTTTTTAGTAACTTATACTTGCCAATGTGAGGCTCCTCGGAGGTCCGGCTTCTTGAAGAAAGCCGTCCCCCGCTGCTCGATACTCCCACGCCATCTCCAGTCTGGTGAAAAATAAATTCAATATTATTAATAAAAATAATATCAGAATAAAAATTTAAAACTTATTGTCCTAACATATATTATATTTATATTTGTTTATGATATTAATAGTAGGTACATCATTTTGATTTCAATGAAACGATAAATGTACTAATTAAAAAAAACACACACACACACACACTCGATTATGGTTGACAATTTTAATTCACAATTCATGAACAATTGATTGAATTAGCAGATATATACATACTCCATAAAAAGTATCAAAATAAAAAATATTTCAATATGTGTCAAGTGAAATAAAATACGTTTAAATATATTAAGGAATGGTAATAACATAGACCGTAGAATTAATTGAGCTTTATTTAGAACAACAAGATACCAAGTAGTTTTAATAAATTGGCGACAATCAGTATCCTCAAGGTTACTAAACATATCAAATAATAAACCAATAATGTTTATAGCATTTAATTGAATATATGATAATAATACTGGACCTAAATTAATGTGGTTCACTTAATTTTGTTATAATAGATTATATATTAAAATTATTAAATCTAGGATAAAAATAAATTTTTGACTGTTGAAATTATAATGAAAAGGAATTATAATTATTTAATGTTATTACCCTCAGTAAACCACGGGTGACCATTTTACAAGTGGTCACTGTAGCAACCTTCGAAGCCGCCAGTTTCTAACTTTATATCTATTAGCTAATGATTTTGAAAATTTCCCTTTCTCTTGTAGCAATTAATTCAAAAAAATGAAAACAATATTATTGTCATCAGGAAATTTTAAATAAGGTGAGACGAGTCACTTGTGAAAAATATCCGAAGATCATTATTCAATTATAGAAAAAATTATTATAAAACAATAAAAATATCATTCTCAACTCTAGATGATAAGTTTAAACAATGAAATGATTTAAACATTTTACAAAAAAAAAAAAAAAAAGAAATAAACTATTTAATTTAATGTGGTATATCGTCTGATGAAAGGATAGATGAAACTATATGAAGTTCTATTACGATTCCAAAAAAGCACCTTCACTTCACGCTTTTCATTCGGTCGCGATACCTTTTTTTGTTCTTTAAGCGTCATTATTTTTATGATTAACCACAAAACAATGTCTCGAACTCCAACATGTAAATATTAACATTTGTAAACTATTACAGTAGTAAGTTAAATGTCCATTTTTTTTCCTTATCTTGATAAAAATATTTTTTTAAAATGAATAAATACTCCATGTTCAATTTCAACACATAATTTTTAACAACTCAATTGTTATAACATTAATTACTATTTTTTATCTAACTATTAACAAAAATATCCTTCATTGAATATGTTTTATGCACAATTAAACTAAAAAGAAGATAATTTTGATTTTATCAAATAGAGAACTAAAGGTTTCGAATCGCGACTGTCTCATGAACTAAGGGATGAAAGGGAGAATCAATACATGACGCCACTCCCGCCAGCATGGTAAAGTGCGCGAGCCAGTCACCCTTGTCGCTATCCGCTCTTCTAGTTATCAACGCATGCGCGTTATCGACTTTCTTTTAATAGTGACGACACTATTCGCTTAATAGTCAAACATGTTATATATATATATATATATATATATATATATATATATAGCTATAAGGTATACATATATACTAGTACTAGTTTAAGTTGAGGTTGCTGAGTATAAACTTTGAGAAAGGTCAGCTGATTTACTAGTTATACTAGCAACCCCCTACATCCTACATCATCGTTACCATTATCACCGTACAAACATACATACACGGATGCCTAAATTGTTGACTAGATTAATTCTCTTACCGATATACGTTTATAATAGATCAATTAAAATACATTACACGGATAAAGTTTAAGAGTTGTTGAATAAAATGAATAAATTAAAATATCAGAAGGTAGATGAAGAGCGTTAACCATTAATACCTTCTGATGAGCTTGAATGGCTTTCTGCATGATGTCGGTGAGCGGTTTGAGGGCTCCACTAACCTCAGGACGGTGACGAGAATCATTTTTCTTAATCACTACAGGTCTAGCTACCCTCGCTAACTGCTGGGCTCTCGACTGGACTTTCAAAGGCATTTCTGTTTCCTGACCACGTCTAGTATCTGATGCTGTTCTTGATAACTTAACTGCTGGCCTTTTGATTGCTGCATTCCCCGTTGAATTTCTCATAGCCTCACCTCGTTGCAACGATGCCCTTGATTTTTATATCCAATTATTTTCATTATTTTTTTGTGTACTTATTTATTTATTTATTTATTTATAATAATTAAAAACTATAATTAATAATCAATTTACCCATCAGCTTCATCGTCAGTAACGTTGTTCAACAAATCTTCGTGTTCACGATAACGAAGTTGAATTTGCGGTTGCAAATCAGTACTATCGCGCAATTTTGTACGAGCTGCAATAGTCCCCAATTCAATAGCTTTTACTTGTCGTTCCAGCTGATCCAACATGTCTATGCTTTGATCCGCAGGTGGATTTTTCGGCTTCAAAATCGTATCCAATTTAATGGGACTATCATGAACGGTTTCCCCGTTATTGGTTTTGTTGCTCATTTGCTTGGCTGGTGGTGCAAGTGATGAAGTTTTGATAATATTAGATCGTTCAAAAGCTTTAAACTTTTGTACAATATCTTCATTCCACAAATTTTGTTCTGCTTGCATATTAGTTTTTCGCTTTTGAGACATTGACGGTGAACAAGGTACTGAAAGTTTTTCAAAATTCTTTGGTAATGAACACTCTAATGCTGATCGTTTTTCAACAACTTTGAGACCTCGATCACCTTCTATCAATTCCCATTGCTTTAGATTGTCAAAAGTCGATGATTCAGATTTTTTGACGTCCTCTCGTTCAAACTCTTTATTTTTTTTAGATCCGACTATCAAATAACTATTCTTTGATCCGTGTAAACCTTGAGATGACTGAAGATGTTCAACACTACGTAATTCAGCAATTCGACCACCTCGATCCGCCATGGCTCGGTTTTAAACTTTTTTTTTATTTTTTTTATTTATTATCAAGTTCACTTCAGATTATCAGTTTCTTTTAGTCTTTTTATTTTTAATTTAATAAATTTCCACGTTGATAATCAGACCAAGATCAACAAGTAGTTAGCGTTCTGTTAAAATTAATAAAATAAAAAATATGTCCTGTGTGTGTTGTATAGCCTCATTAGCAAGCGATTATGATCCTCAACAATTAATATATGTAATATGACTTTTATTTTTTATAAACCATTACAAAAAAAAAACCCGGTAGTATAGGGAAACACCAAAAAAGCAAGCCGTACGATAAGCAACAAGTATTGCATAAAAAACACCACACTTTTTGTTTTTGTTAAAGTTTAAAAAAAATGATATTTTATTTAAAAATAAAAAAAAAAAAATTTTTTTGTTGATGCGCTGTGTAGAATGGATGTCTGGCCTTGTCTCAACGTCTTATCTCATCAATCAAAAGCCTTGGCAGTATTGTCACAAATTGATTTTATTACTTCAGAACTTGATTGTATAAAATTAAAAACAGACTTGTTAAAAAATTTATGCAACTAAATAACTTTGAAGAAGAAAAAATATTTTTGTGATTTAAAAACCTATTACATAGTTATTAATTAGCACATGAATAAATTTAAAAATAAGAAAAAATAATAAGTATTAAGACAACGTAAGTGACGCCCGCAAAGAAATAATAACTACTTGATTTCTTCTCCCAGTGCGATAGTCAAGCCTTGTCGTAACAATTCCGTTATCAGCCAGCTGCTGATAAGCGAATTTTGATAGCTATATGTTGTGCCTAGTATTTTAGCCGTTGTTACTTGAAGTATCATTATCATTTAAGGATTAAGACAAGTATAAGTATCTTCGTTCACGAGTTGATCGCATTGACCATGCAACGTTACCCCAAAGCCACTCCTTCATTTTTTTTCTTTTATCCAGCTCATTCTTTTTGTTTTTTTTTTTTATTTTTTTACTTATACACTCATATTTGTACTGTTGTACCTCACTTTAATTTATTTTCTTTTCTTAATACGGTCGATTTATCCTTCGTACTCGATCGCAGACTTGAAGTCTGCTACTTAAATCGACACACAGACAGAATTGAAGGCAGTGCGGTAAAGAGGCGGACGGAAGAGGAGGAAAGCCAGTGGAACGAGTGAAACAAGAACGAGTGGAACTATGCGTGAGTCATGATCGAGGATTCACGAAAGCCTTCTTTACTTCGAGTGCGTGGAAACCGATCTATCGATACGATATAATATTATACATAAGATAAAGTGTAAAGGAGGATACTTTTATGACTCACAACTCTTAGACATATTTCAATTTCAATTAAAAAAAATTGAAACATGTTTACTACATATATAATTAATTTAAAAAAAAAAATCAATCTGACAAGTTCTGCTATGATGTAATATATAAATTTAAAATCCTCTGAAACACTAACTAACATTCACTGTTTAAATAGTTTTTACAATTTATCCATTTGAATAATCAACTCCACTTTTTTATGCCAATCACTAAGTTAAATAAAAAATTAATTCAGTTACTTGAACTTTTTAAAATTATTCTTAGAGACAAGTGTTACATATAAATGATACACAAGTCTTGAAAAGGATAACTAAGTATAGTAGAATAGTAGTTCTCCTAGTTACAGTTACAAGACAGACACACGCGGCTTTACTGGTACGTTATGTAGCGCTTAGAAAGTCTCTAACCTCTAGTTCGTGTACAATCGCTTCTTAAAACTCGCTCGAGCGCCCACGCTTCCTTTTGGATAAAAATGAAAGTTTGAGACATCGTTGCCGAGCAAAAGACGGAAAACATATATAAATCTATACGTTATAAGTTTTACAGCTTTATATTGTCTCAATGTTTGCTAAGAGTTTACTAGTGTTATCAGTGTGTCTTTATAGCTAATCACAATTAGACCGCTTACACAGAACAAACTTTTAGCTCAACACTCAACTGTTAAGTTATGAAGGATTTCAATAGTTTTCATTTCATGGAACACTATCTTGTCTTGATTTTGCTCGGAAAATTTTTAAAGACAATACGACGAAAATTATTATTAATTTAAAAAATAAATGTATGTAACATTGTTGTCATACACTTAATAAAAAACACTCGATAGAAACGATGAATTGAATTGCAGACTGATTACCGCCATTGCTTTTGTATAGCCTGTTTCTTCCGCTTCCGTTTGACATGCAGTTATGCAATCAACAAGTTTCGTAGTAACAACGCAGTTTGCAGTCAACGTTAAAATATATCAAGTATATTATACATCTTTTCATTTACTTCTTTGACACTTTTATCTTTCTATACCTTTCTCTATTTAGATTACATTATTTAGTCTAAAAAAATTAATGCATTTATTTAGCAACGCACTTTTGACTTAATTTTAAATCTATAAATATAATAGCTACATATTAAATTAAATACTTGAGGTTATTAAATGTAAAATGTAAAGGATTATTATCTTGACAACTCAGAGACTCGTTACTGACTACCGTCAGGTGGCGACAGTGAGTGCCATTAATCGGTATAGTCACTGACCAACAAAAGCTACGCTACTATCAACGAGATACGGCCTCCGTATAAATTGTTCTTGTTCAAATCAACTTGGGAGAAGACATCACGTGAGTGTATCTTAAAATACACACTTACAACGCCCACTATACAATACAGGCAACTGTGATGACACAAACTTATATGTGACTACCTCACACATATTATTTTTTTTTTATTATTTAAATTTAAATACTTCTTCGTATGCTCAAAACACCTGACGTTTTTTATATCAACGTAATATATTAAAAGTAAATAACAATGTCTGCTTAAAAAATATTTTTAAAAAAAAAACCCGGATCTTGTTTTGTTTATTTTATGTATCTTGAAATTATTTTATTTTTTACTTTTTAAATCTTCTATTTAAGAAGAAATGAATCACTTTTCTACAGGTAAAAAAATAAGTAAGTCAACAAAAATCCGTTAAAGGTGGTACTACATGATTACTGGACTGCGTCTAAGTTAGTTCATGCAGATAACTACGCCCAGACAGTTTACGAAACATCATAGAAAGATACGTAGATAGAAAAACTTTGACTAAACCTATTTTATCCACCAATCAGAATTCAAACGTAAGTTCATCATAAATGCTTTTCAATGTCATAATAAAAAAAAAAAAAAAAAAAAAAATTATCGTCAGGTCACCAGTTTCCATATAGAGAGAGAAATTATACACATACGTAATATTTTTTATCTCAATTCGTATTTTATATGATTTAAATAGATGTTAAAATTAAAAAAATAATGTAAATTTATCTCATTCTCACACAAAACTTTTTGAGTTTTCAGTTAAGACGTTTGTGATTTATTATTGTATTTTCAACACTAAAATAACTTGTGTATGTAGAGGTATTAAAAAAAAAACAAAATTGATAGTCTCTTAACATTTCCCAGCATTTGTAATTAATTATTATTTTTTATCTGTGCTTTTGCATTACTTGTTTTTTATTTTTGTAATAATCCATAAATAAATTGAAATGAAAATTAAACACATCGTAAATATCAATATGTATTTTGCTGCGGAAATTTCCATCTGTGTGTTGATGCTAACCAGGAAGATAGCAAACTACGTCTTATGACCTCAAAATATTGATAATCATGAGCTTTTAACAATGCATGGGATTTTGTATGAATTATAGGTAGGCTTAAATGTGAGTTAATTTTAGATTTCATAAAACTAAAATAGATGCGGTAAAACAATACGTAAAACTGTTTGAGAATCAGGTTAGCTTGAATGATCAAATATTAATTCGTAGTTGCATTACTATGGTTGTAATTATGATTTCCGTTATTAAAAATCAACGTTAAATTCAAGAAAATAAAAAATTATTATTTTCTATTCTAGTACAAAAATAAATATTTCATATTTTTATAAGAACGATGAAAGTATACTAATGTGAAATGTGAAAATAACTTAAATGAAAAAATATTAATTTAAGTTTAGAAATTAATAATAACAATAACAATAATATCTTAAGCGCAGTTGTTATTAAAAAATACGCAATGTGATATTTATGATTCTTTTTTTTTTTTTACAAGAAATAGAAATTGATTTCTTTCGAGATTTTTTTTTTTAAATAGCTTATAAACAATTGTGAAAGAAATTAATCTGTCAAGGTGATTTTGAGTTTTACGGTGACGTGAAATAAAAATTATAAATTTAGATAAAGAAATGTTCTTTTATAATTTTACATTGACAGAATCTCTCAATTAAATAAAACGATCTAATTTTACCTCTTGACACATCTGTATTGATTAAACGATTAAATTTGAACTATACATTGAAATTTAAGTTTTTATAGGTGCTAAAATTAATATAAATGACCTTTTTTAACAGTAATAAAAGTCTTATTACAGAGATGGTATAACAAACTAACTTAAATACAATTGACTCAAAACTTTATAGTGGCTGGATCATGTAATTAAATTACTTTATTTTACATTGTAAAGTTAAGAATTCTTTATTTGATAAAACAATTTTAAATTGCAGTTGTATTTAATTTATTATTTTAGATATTCCTTATCAAACTTTTTATAGCTGTCTAAAAGGTTATTCTTTATCTAATTCAACAATTATCAAAAATTCAAGTTTTACTAATTAAATTAAATTACAGTAAAGTGTTAGACATTTATAATCAAGTAATATTGTATATGTTATTCATAATACATTACCGGTCATTCTAAAATTTTCCTAATTTGCACGGTGATTATTTATGATGATTCATGTTGAGAAATAACAATTTTTCTAAATAGAAAAAATATTCGGAATTTTTATGAGTAATGTTAATTGCATGTGTTAAAAATTATAAAGTACAAGATTATTGTTAATATACTATGTTTGATCAAAAACAATTTTAAACTTTTCACTTGCCATATGTGCGACGAAAAAAACGTTTTATTTATTTATTCAAGTGTGAGGAAAATAAATAAATATCGTTACTACTTGAAAGAATAATACTTTACTCATCAGAAAAAGATAATTCTTTGAAATTATTTTAAGGTGCATAAAATAATGTATTAATTATTCAATTAAAATTTTTTTTGTAAAATTTAAATAAATTTCAAACTTTTACACAAATAAACACGCAAGCTTGAGATTTTAAATGCTATAATTTCTACACGTAGAAATAAAAAATGACAACAGAAATAGTACATAACGTTTCATACTTAATAACAATTTGTATTAACAAACTGTTTTTTTCATTGAAAACAATACTTTTTTAGTTGTCCTTGTAATTGTTATTGTTGAAAACAAGACTTCATTCATGTCTTTGTACAAATATATAAATATAAATATAAATTTAATAATTAAATTCTTATCTATTATGAAGTTGATAAATGCATCATTCATTAGTCGAGACACCTAAAAGTGCTAATTAAAACTCAAGGACACTATGATCACCAGAGTGATGATGTTTAAAAAATTAATTTTTATCTACATTATACATTTTATTTTCTGCGCGCTGGTTCTTTTCAGAATAAATAATTAAGAAATATTCAATTTTAAACAGATAAAATTTGCTCACTTAAAATGACTGCTTACTTATGTATACAAGTTTAAGTTGGCTTATCGTTTCTGATGTAATACATTTACGGTTTACAGGTTTCTGTAATTTTCTTACACTAATTGAATTAACTCAATTATAATTGTTACTGAATAAAAAGGAAATTAAAATTTTTGTTAAATAATGAATTATAACTTATAATGAATAAAAAATATTTAATTTGATGGATACAAAAAAATTGATAATGACCTTGAAAGTAACTAAAGATTCCTTTGTATCTATTTGATTCTGAAAGATTCAGTTGGAATGTGGGGTGTCAAGTCATGCTGTTATATTGTGACTCAGAGTGAGTTGTTTTTGCATAGTAATTATTAATGACATTCGTTGGAATAAAACTCATGTATATTTGAAAAACAATCTTATTGCAAAATTAATGGAAATAAATAAATAAGTATTCAAATGAAATATAATCTATAGAGAATATAATCGATACTTTTGAAGTATATTTACTACATTATACACCTGCAGGATAAAAAAAAAAGTAGCAAATCATTAACCACAAGAACAGCAACCTGTTTGTCGCTGCTTTCGCTTCTTTATTTCTTTTCTTTGTTTTATTGTTTGCTATCTAAGGCGCGTTTATATTATACTGTTGAAACGAGTAGTGGAGTGAAAGGAAGTTACTGTAGAAAAGCTAGAGATCATTTTACCGATAATATTTAGTAATAAAATATAGTTGTTTATTAAAAATATTGTTCTAATATATGAAAGAATAGAAAAATATAATATATTGATTTTTCACATCAATTTAGATTTTTTTCAATACTCGATACTATTAACCATGGTTAGTAATATATGATTTAATATGCTACTATTAATATAACTTTATTCTTAGAATTAACTTACGAGTCATCAAATTCAATGAGGCATTAAATTGAATGGTCTATAAAACAATGATCAAATTCAGGTAATAAAAACACTTATTAGCTATAATTTCTAACATAATCCAAAAAAGAAAAAAAAAAAAACATCGCACCCCTTAATTAATTTGAACTAATAAGAAATTGAGGACTATAATTTTGTCACTAAATTGAGTTCACAGTTAACCATCGATTTTGCGTTATAGAATATTTTATTCAAATTGTCAACTGATATATTTTTTTCGATAATTTAATGGATATGCAATATTTAATTTGTGGGTTCGTATTTTCATCTAAACAAACGTAAAATACAACTGCGTTTCAACTCAATACAAAGTGTTTCTATGATCAAATGTAACAGCGCTATTGTAATTAGCTCATCAGAATAATTATTAGACACACATTTGAATTGATATAATTCTATGTACCAAACTTCACGCTTGTATCTTGTAATTGTTCATACTAGCTAATTAAAATACGTATTATTGATTGTAAACTTTGCTGTTTAGATATGAAAATAATTCTGCTAATGTTCATCAAAAGAATTGTCAATTATTAATGATTAATTCAAATGTTTAAATGTATAATTATACATCTTCTGTTCAATGAATAATTTTCTAGCTAGACTGTGAGAACAAATAATTCTATTCACTCATCAGACAAAAAAAAAGTTTCTACTAGTGTAAGTTCCAACTGGTGAGCTACGTCATTGTTCCGATCTATTCTCCATACAAGGTAAAATAGTGCGCCAACAAAGCTTAAAACAAAAGAATAAAAGTTGATCAGATTTTAAAATATTGTTTTCTTCAATTAGAACTGACCTTCAAGTTTTACTCATTGAAAAATTTATTAAAGAGAATCATACAAAAAAAAAAAATTATTATTTTTTTTTTTCAAGTATACAACAGTTATACAGTTCACACATAAAAATTTTGTCATCCATACTCGACACTAAGTTAATTAGAGGTGTAATTAATCTGCTATTTATGACAAAATTCATTACGTATAGATACAATTTAATATTTTATCAATCAAATTAGAAGTAGTTCCAAAAATAATCAATAGTTATGTGTATAAAACTATACTAATAAAAAACGAACGGGACAAGAATGGTATTCGGTGAACGTAACATCTACTGCTGATGAATCATCAATCTACTAAACTTGAAAGACATGATCGTATTCGGACAAAGATTACCCATCTCAATCTCAATTTAAATTTTGTCCTTACCTTCAATTTAGACCGGGTTCTTGAATATCGTTTGCTTCCACCCGTACTTGTTCGATTACCAGACTCTCGATATTGAGATGAGGGTGCCGGTGGTGGCGGTTGAGATTTTCTTTGGACAGATCCATCATTTGGATTAACGTTATTTTTAATTACTGCTGTTCCTTTTGAATTTGTAACTGGAGGAACATTTGGTATTGCTGGTATAATTGGAGTAGTTGCTTTTGTTGTTACAACCGTAGTAGTACCATTCGCTGTTATTGAAGCAGGATAGACAGAAGGGGTATCTCGATGGCTTTTAGTTCGACGCAACAATCTTCGAACTGTATTTTTTACAGTTGCAGCAATATGAGTTCCTCCACCACCACCGCCACCATTTGATCGCTCATTGACACTTTCATTAGGTTTATAATCTACTTTTTTCAATAGATTGTTTGTTGGGGCTACCCTATGCCCACTCGATTCCATCATGTGGATCATTAGTAATACATTTCACAACAACCAGTATATTTGTTTTAACAAACTTTAATTAAGATTTTATTGGACTGATGAACACTATTCAACATAATTATTCAAAGATAACATTAATTACACAACATCACATCTTCTTTGCCAATAAATAAACAAATAAATCACTTCGTAATACTTATTAATTAAATTTTTAATTTAATTATTTATTAAATATATAGTGCGAGGATTAAAAGTCAGGTAATTTATTGAATTTCGTTTATAAAAAAACCCGAATGTTTACTTTTCATTTTGTTTTATGAATAAAAATATCCAAAGAATTAATAATTTATCAGAGATAATATTTAAAGTAATTAAATTAATTTACATATTCGATTTCAATGAACTCACTGATAAAAACTGAATTGTAGCGCAATAAAAATAAATCAAAGAAAGCTATGGTTTTATTTTATATTGTATAATAATTAAGTTGATACACAATGTACGACTATCAGAGAACAATTGAGTTTTATTTATGTAACCACTACTCGTAGTATGAAGATCGAAGTTATACTTTTGCAAATGATGTTGCGTTGATGCCTCAATGCGTTTTCGTGTCAATTTAACTCTCAATATAATAATATATGAATAGTAAAACTTTTATACAGTTATAGTTGATAGTTATAAAATAATTCTTACGTCATAAATTATATTAAGCTCGACACAATTGACAATTTTAAAACAATAACAAAGTAATTACAGGTATATATTTTTAAATTATCAATTGTGTGTAATTATTGATTTTACGGGTAATTGAATTTACGATAGCTTTAAAGAAAAAAAAATATTCTCATAAGACAATGATATTATTATAACACACGCAAATTTTAAATAAATTTACCAATAAACGTTCGAAAATAACTATTATTTATTTTTTTATACTAATTTTAAATGTCGGCTATAAATTAATCATATTTACTTTAAATGATAGAGAATTATTAGATTTTTCATATGGATAATGTAATAACACAATAGACTAATGATCATTTGCTTGGCATGCAGTTCAGTAACAAGACAAGTACATTAAATTGATATGACTAGTACACCTACAACTTTTAAAGTCAACTTGTTAATTAAATATTTCACGACCAAGGCATCATCCTAATTAACCCGCAAGTTATAATATTTTTGATAGAAGCAAAAAGTCAATGTACGAACTTTGACATACAATTATCTCATATACACAATATACACTAAAGTATAATAGTAGTCTTATACCGTGATTGTAAAAAAATTGTATCAAGCATTGGGGCGTATTCTTAACGTTAATATCATTAACGTAATCAAGTTAGCAAGTACTTGGTTGTGGCACATTTATGATTCTGCACGGAAACTTCTCTTGGCTAGCTTGACAGCTTAGCTTAGAGTTGTTCTCTTGTCACGCCATGTTGCAATGTTGCAATATTTCAATAGAATCCTATTTAACCATATACATTTTTTCCCCATAAGATCAAACATAATTTTTAAATTTGTTTTTTCTACTACCAGTAGATATGTAAATAAATCATAACTAACTTGTCAAATTTCATAATTTAACACATATTTTCTCAAGCGTAAATAATTTTACCATCAAAATAAACATTGAAACAAAACAAAATGAAATTTTTTATTTTAATAAGCAGTAAATCTTTGGAATTTATTTATATTCATGAAGAAAACAATTTTTTTTTTTCTATAGAAAAGCTTTATAATTGGATATCAATTGCAACGTTGATTTTTAATACGTGAAAGTATCTTCGTTTATACAATCAAGAAGTCCAGCTGGCGCGCACAAATGACCACGAGGGAGTATTAAATTCTCTTTCTCTTTCTTTCCTCGCACTATTTACGTACCATTATTATTATTGTTAATTCTAATATCACGAAACTATTATTTACACCTTATAATTAATCACTTGAAATTGAAGTACACCAAAATAATTAATATTAAAAAAAATAACAACAACAATGTAACAATAATAAATTATAAAAATAAAAACGGGAGTTTTGGAGTTAAAAAATAGATATTAAATTGGAGTAAAAAGGCTAAGAATAAAGATATGTAAAACACACACACAATACCGGGACATGAGTAGCGGTAGCCAGCAGTAAGCTTTGTTGCTGGATCTTTGGTTGGCTTGATACGTAACTCGTGTCCGTACCGGGGGGCCTGTGTGCGTCACACTACGCTTCTATATTTCTTCAATACTGTATACTATCCTCTGTTATCCCCCACGTCTATTCTCTCCCACTCTTTTAATGTTACAATATATCTTTCTCTTTCTAACTCTCTACTTTACTCTGTTGAGCTCAAAGCCTTCGACCGCCTTTACTTTGGAGCTTGACTGTTTTATTATGCCTCTGCCTATACTCGTATCGTACCGACAGATACTTGCTGCGGTTATTGTCTCTTGTATGTGTACGCATCACATGCATGTACATTATTATTATTTTCCCTCTTTTTCTTCATGTCTCTACTTGACATATTCTCTGTTGTATCTATTGTACTTATATATTGTTCGTAATATGATGCATCGCCGAATAGAGTACGGACCACTGGAGCTTGTGTTGGATAGATTACGTTCTATATTATGTTATATTAGTCTTCGTAGTCGATTGAATAGAAAATTAAAACGGCATAACCGCGCCTAGATTCATTTTGTTGTGCAACCAATGTTCTTACGGCAGTGTAGAAAACCTTATGCTTACTTGCTATCCTAAGTCAAGACTATACAAGTGGGGATCAACGTAATAGGCTATGCAAGTCATTAACAATTTAATATAAGGGCGGACAAGTTTAAAATCGACAGAATAATGAAATATTATCGAATAACTTATCAATTGTCTTGGATTTAAATATGATTGAACCTTATGTAATACTAATGATAACTTAGTGCATAACACTGTTCATTTTTTCACAATAATAAAAGATTCATTTCACTGAAGAAGAATATTTTCTTCAAAATTTCGCTCTTTTACAACAACATCAAAGCTCTTTTGATTTGGATAAACAGCTAATTTTCCTTACGAAAAGGTTCTTAAAAAGAAACAACAATATTTTTAGTACAAAAAACTTGTTCTCGATTGAAGAATTTGATTATATCGACTAAAGATATTGTACTTTTGAGGAAAGTGACAATAGTTATCAATTCAAAATACAAAAAAATTTTAAACCAAGAGTTTAGAAATCAAGAGAATGAATTCAGAAAAACGAGACGACCGGTTTTTTAAAATAATTATTACTTAAATCAAGTTATTTTTTGAATCCATGTATTTTGTTGATTAATTCTTTTCTTTTTAGTTTCCGTTTTTGAACAAAATTAATGTTAAAATTATAGCAAAGTAACTAAAATTTCATTGATAGATTAAACATTATTAATAGATCCCGTGGATCTTTAAAAGAATATTAAACAACTATATATTGACTATAACATAGATTAGTTTAACAATTTTTCATTCAAGAGGTAATAAACTTAAGTCTTCTTGTTTATATTAGAAAAAAAAATTTGTAGCAATTAGTGCAAGAGTAATTAAATAGGTGGTGATTGATAAAAATAATGGCTTCATATTTAAAATTAACGGGAGTGTTGTAAATACAGCGAAATAGAACGTTTTATTAATAATCACTGTATTAACTAAAGAAAAAAAAATTCTAAGGGTGTTTACTGGACTTGGTACTTAATATTTCAATAAACAATTAGGTCGATTACTCTATGGTTACTAAGTTTATAAAAAAAATCTATAATAATTTAATAACTTATCGATTCTTGTAAATATTTGAATGATGAATTTGCTCAAAAATCCTTTTTTTGATTGAATAATTTTGCAATCGGTTCAATTCATAAACCAAAACACTATCTCAAATCTTAAGCTATTTAAAAAATGAGAAAAAAAAAATTTATTGTTTTTTTTTTTCCATGTCTGTGGTTTTTGTTCGTTTTCGTTCCCCTAATACAATCATTATTTTGAAAAATCACAACATGAGATTTTATACTTAAAAAACAAAACAAACACACATTAGTTATGGTATTTATAGAATATAGATAGAAAACAAACACGGTTACGGTTGTTTCTGATTAGTTAATAAATCATTGAAAAAAAAAATTAGAAAAACGGTTGACCCTAAAAGCCATCCTTGCAACTTCCCGCTAATTTCGTATTTAAGCGTTCAAAATTGCACTTACTACGTTGTTGAGCTCTTTGAGCTCAAAAATATAATTTTCGTGTAATTTTGAACTCTCCGAGCTCAAAAATCTGGTAAAAGTTTAATAAAACACTGTTTCTTAACCCTTCAGTACCCTCGCTATGAGAATTTTTCGCACGCAACAACATTCAACTTATAGGATGTCGCTGCAGTGCAAGTGAGACACTAAAAAGAACGTGGGTACTGAAGGGTTAAATTTTAAAACCGCAATAACTTTTGAATGAATGAACCGATCTTCACGCGGTTGGTGGCACTCGACGCAGTTTTTCAGGCCTCATAAAGAATCTTTAAGTTTTAATCGATCGAAGTAGGAATTTCGATGTAATTCCGAAAAAACATTTTTTTGTTTTTTTTTTTTCCGACAATGATAATTCACGAACGAATCAACCGATTTTGACCGGGCTAGCGGAGATCGACGTGGTTTTTTTATGTTAAGAGCTGACTAGTTTTTGAAACTGATCAGTAGAGCCGTTTAACAGTTATTCCAAAAAAACCACTTTTGAAAAAATTTTTTTTTTGTAGTTTTTTTGCGATTTCTCAAAATCTACTGATCCGAATCGTTTCAAAGTATATTCAAAATCTAAGTTCAGTCAAGCCCTTTCGAATGGCACCAACCGCGATGGATCAATGGAATCGGTCAAGTCGTTCAAAAGTTATGAGAGGTTTACATACGGCCACACACACACACACACACATACGGACATCATCGCGGAAACATTCGAGAAGGCTTCCTAGGACCTCAAAACGTCAACATCACGGTGAGAAATTTCTAATGAATTTTACTATGGGC